AAGATGGCCTCGACGACAATGAAGAACAACAAATTCTCAAAGCCTACCCCGATCTCGAACCTTTGGCCGAGATTGACCTCTTCTGAATTGTCGCCGACTTCCAATGAGAACGACCCCCGATTACATCAGCACTGAAAAATCCAGTCACTCGAGATACAAAACTCGAAGCGCCACTGGCATTCACAGTTGACAACCACAACAAAGTTGCCTACATTCCGTCAATTCCAGCCGACCAAAAACTCGAAAAATTCAGCCTTGGCGATGACGGCAACGAACACTACATTGTACTCGCCACCGACATCTCGGCAAGTTTTTGAGACAAAGGCATCAATCTTCTCTGAAAGAAGAAACACTTGTTCGCTTGGAGTTATCGTGACCTTAAGGGAATTTCGCCAAAACTCAGTCTTCACACCATCACCCTTCTTCCATACTCAAAACCAAGAAGACAAGCAGCCTATCGGATGAATCCAAATCTGATGGAACAAGTAAAGAAAGAACTCGACAAGCTTCTCCAAGTCGAGTACATATACCCGATTCAGAATCTGATATGGCTTTCACCATTGGTGGTTGTGCCGAAGAAAAATGGCAAACTTCGAATCTGCGTCAACTATAAACAGCTCAACGACGCCACTGAAAAAGATGTTTTCCTGATACCGTTTACCAATGAAGTTCTTGACGTAGTTGCCAGACACAAGATGTACTCCTTCCTCGATGGTTTCTCTGGCTACAACCAAATTTATATTGCTGAAGAAGATCAGCACAAGACAGCATTCATCAGTCCATGGGGAGCGTATGCTTACCAACGAATGCCTTTTGGACTCTACAATGCCCCATTCACCTTCCAAAGGCTCGTCACCAACACTTTCCGAGAATACCTCACCAACTTCATGAGAGTCTTCATGGACGACTTCAGCATTTTCAGCTCAGAAGATCGACATCTTGAATGCCTGGAGAAATGCCTCAACAAGTGCGAGGAGAACAAAGACATAGCACTCAACCCCGACAAAGAACTTCAGCGCTTCCTCGGCAAAGTCGGATATCACCGACGATTCATCCACAAGTACGCTCACATTGCCAAACCACTCACCAATGGATTGAAGCAAGATGCCCAATGGACATGGACATTTGAACAGCAACAAGCATTCGACAATCTCCGACTCAAACTAACAACAGCATCAATCCTTTCCAAGCCCAACTGGACACAAGAGTTCCACATTCATGTCGACACTTCCGACATTGTCACTAGTGCAATTCTCAGCCAAACTCAACACAACAACCGAGATCAACCAATCTACTACGCTAGCTGACTACTCAACCCAGCTGAATGAAATTACACCACCACCAAGAAAGAAGCTCTTGGCATGATCTACTCACTTCAAAAGTTCCAACACTACATACTATCAACCAACACCGATTACTGCCAAAAAACTCAGACTCAACAACTCAACCCAACATTCCCAATGGCACCATTTCAGAAATGGGGACTCGACTTCATCGGACCCCAAGTCAGCACCCGTCAACGAAATCAGTACATCATCATCACCACCGATTACACTACCAAGTGGGCCGAAGCAATACCTCTCTGACATGCCACAGCAAAAGCAACAGCAACATGCAGTTCGAGAAAGGCTTCAGCAACTCGAACATCTCGACAAACTCCGACTCAACGCCCTCTAGACACTTCACGCCATCCAAAAACAGAGAAAAGCTCGGCATGACTGACAAGCATCCCGGTATAACATTCCCAAATACAACGTCGACGATCATGTTGTCTGATACCGAGGACCCATCGGCAAACTTGGCCGAAAACTCCACACCAAATGGCAAGGACCTTTCAAAATCATTGAACTATACCCCAACGGCACCGCCAAAGTCAGCACACTCGCTGAAGACTTCATTGAGATCGTCAACCTCAACAAGCTTCGACCATATCACGTCGACATATTCAGCATCAGCACCTCAGCAAATTTCCGACCCAAACTGACAAACACCCCAAAACCAACAATCGACACTCACCCCAGCAGACAAACTTTAACTCAAATCAGTTCGACACAACTCAACTCAACTCAACTCAACACGAACTCATCCACCAACTTCAGCAATAAACAGCAGCAAAAATCTCTAAGTCCCAAGCTACTGTTGGATCAACGCCACCTGAGCAAATATCAATAGTTGAACTTGAGTTAACTTCATCAGCAATATCCACCATTGATCTGCAATCAAGCCAAATCAAACCACATCAATTCCGTCAACAAATCTCTACCATTCATCACCAACAATCGAGTGCCACACAATCAGCCAACCAACAGTTACAGGTTTCAAGAACCCTAACGGGGCGAGCACTTCGACCACAGAAAATAAAGAGAAAGATGCCAGCTCATCCACCCCGGCGCCTCAGATACGTCATACACCATATTCCTAGGCTTCCCAGCAATGACACAACCACCTGGCTCAAGGGCCATAGATTCGAGCTCCTCCACAAGGCCTTTTCAACACACCTTGATCAAAAACTAGCGAGGAAGCTGGCCGCCTCCTTCAACCCCAAGAACGGCACCATAACCGACGGCACCAACGAAATCACCCTCAGCCCAGCAAGAATCGCCTCCGTTTTCAAAATCTCCAACAAGGGACTGCTCAAATTTTCAGGAGAAGTTCCACAGCAAATCATCAAGGCCAATCGAGAAATTACCAGTGAACTCACATGGGAGGACATCGAGGAGCAGCATATGGATCACCTCAAAGCCCTCCTCCTCTACTACGAACTTCGCCCAATAGATCGCACCATTGGCAAGTGCAGAGTAGAAGTCTACAGAGCTCTACTTGACGGCAAACGTGTGAACGTGGCTCATCATCTCCATGAGCTCCTTCTCAAGCTTCTCGACCGCGCCACCCTTGCCACACTCAACAGAAAGACCATGCGGACAGTAATATTCCCACTGCTGATCGCTCTACACCAAGCTCTTCCCAACAAACAACCGTGGACAACCCAAATGAACTCCACAGAACAAAGTGACAGCTCTGAAGAACAGTCAGAATCAGAAGGAGCAACTCCCAGCAAGAAACCGAAGCCAACATCTCAACAATCAGGCTCAACTCACTCCAACAACACCAGCTCCAGCAACAAACACTCCAACAATTCAACTCCACTTTGCCGCCACCGCTGATTTGAGAGCACCTCATCATCAGCGACAATGAAGATAACTCACACCACCATCCACACTCACCCCAGAGCCTGCATCCACTCGAATCAGCCCCAAAACCGACAATTTCTCACAAACACATCAACATCGCCAAAGGAAAACGTCAGCTGCTCGCCCTGAACTCAATTTCTCCACCAGCTGAGAACAACATTCTCAACACCTCGACCTCCTCGACACGTTCCACAAAAGAAAACATTGACTACCTTCACCAATCACTTAAAGAACACACAACCATGCCTCCTCCAGCAAATACCACGACCAGCATTCACAAAAATTCCGCCCCTTCAACAAAATTCCAAGCGAAAAATTTCCGAATGGATAAATTAATTTCAGTGCCACATCTGGGCCGTTCATCCACCATCAAACTGAAAAGCTCATCTCCAACCACCTCAAAGAATCTGGCCTGACCACGTCACCCATATCCAACAAAGCAAACTCAACTCCCGGGACCAAGAACACAGCGAGAAACACCAGGATCACGGAGCAGGAGTAGGAGCAGCAGCTATGCCTCAGCCACAGAGTCAGGTAGGCCATGATTATGACGAGATCAGGAAGGAGTATGAAGATAAACTTCGCGACCCAAGCTACTACACCCGCAAGTTGTTTGAAGCCCTCGATCAACACATGCACCGCGAGCAAGCAAACTACTTCCCAACACGAGCTGACATTGCACAGCATCTTCTCAAGCAAGACTCCTTCATATACACCCGGGGAGCGATCAAGAAGGAATTCTATAAGCCTTTAAACCACCAGCTGGATGCTCAGCTCGAAGAGATGAAGCAGATCCACTGTGACCTCCAAGACATCAGGAAGATCGTCTCCAAGCAGCCATCAACCCCATCAGCAGCTCACGAATTCACCTACAAATTCAAATACGAAAAGCTCAACACCCGCTACTGAAAGCTCGAGGATGATCATACCGCCCTGCTGGCTGAGGTAGCCGACCTCCAGGAAGATGGGACAGATCCACCAAACAATATCCCTAACCACGAGCTTACACTCCCGCAGCAAAAACATCGCCTCTATCGACTTGAGCAGCAGCAACAACAAGCGATGGAAACTGACTATGTTCGCACCGAGGACGGTGTCTAGTTCTGTCAGGGGAGCAGAGTGTATCAACTAAAAACCCAGGCTCAGGGGACTCCGACTTTGAACCCAGGGCTGCATCGGAGCCATAGATTAAATCATGCACAGCATATAGTATATGCTAGCAATTAGAACTGGAATCTGAATTGTGGATACCTATCTCTATTCCATCGTTTTTCTTATCAATACATAGCATTCGTTTTCTCGTGCTTCTTCTCTGCCCTTGGAGATCGAGCAGATTTCCAGCGAAAAGGAGTTTTCACACCTCTTCACATTGCTTGGCGAAAATCGAAAGGTGGCAAAGGTGAGGAATGAAGCTCAAGACAGTCTCTTGTGTGTTCTTGAGCAATCTGGACAAGAGTATATACATACCGCTTTAAATCACAAAAGCAATGCTTGTGATGCTTGCTTTGCGAGGTATTGTTTGAAGGCTTGTCTTGGTTTGAGCCAGACCGGATCATCCAGCCAAGCGCAGCAGACAAGCACTGCTCGGGTGAGGAACTTCCTTGTTGGAATGCGAGCAAAAGTGCAGAGCAGCGTATCGTTATCCAGGTCGCCCAATGGTGGCAGCGTCACCTCTGCTATCGCTGTCCTTGCGACATTTGCTATTTTGACGAAGCTTACCTGTAGTTAATGAATGGTTCCATCGCATTGTTCTTGACGACGAGGAGGAGACGCTGCTCTGATCGTCATAGATTCCTCGCGAATTTCATCATGGAAATGTATGGAAAGTGCGGGTGCACTGTGGATGCCTTGGGTGTCCTCCACAAAATGGAAGATGGAAATGTTTTCTTCTGGAACGCATTTGCCCAGCAAATGCTCGTCGATCGAATTCTTGCAGCTATCAATGGCGATGTGGCGGAGATCCAGGTGAGAAACACATGGTGAGAAACACCAGGAACCTCGACTTAAGTTGGCAGAAGGCCCGCTCCAGGCCTGGTTGAAAGACTACTGCTGGAGGGTAAATCAACCACGGCCTTTGGAGGAGGCCATACCCCTGCTGTCTGATCTCCTCGCAATCCTGGAGCTGAGACAATAACACCGTCACCATCTTTGGCTTGTCGTTGTAGTAATTGGAGCTTGGGGCGGCGATTGGGATGTGGCGCCGATCAGGCTGGGATGCCAGTCTCGAGCTCACACGGCAATGCCCTGGTTCCACCCGATGCAAGTGTCTGTCCAGTTCTTGGCAGAAGAAGATCTCGGCGATGGCATGCTCGCCAACGGAGCACCGTAACGCGGCGATGATTAGCGCGCGGATCGGCATTGATAGCTGCCAAGGGAAATAACTGGATGCTCGAAAAAGAGTAACAAGGGCAAATGCCGCGATCGCAATCTTCCACGAGAAAGAACCTCGATCTTTCATCTTCTGGAAGATTTCCAGCGCCCGCACTTTCCATACCTTTCTATGACCAGATTAGCAAGGAACCTCGAGGCCGCTGGAGACGATTTTCCTCGTGGATGCGCCTTCCCCCTCCCAGATCTGTGCTCACCGCATTCTCGCCCAGGCGCCCACCGCTGGAGATCGCTCCTCCTTCCTGCAAATCTTCGCTGGATGGCACCTCCTCGTCAAGGCTCAAGAACGATGCCATGGAAAACCACCGCCATTGCCATTATACGCTACTGCTGCACATTTTCGATCCAGGGGGCTCTTTACCCGGGCGGTGTGCTGCTGCCGGGCGTGCTCTATGAGTCGAGCAGCATGGTCTTTCTTCTCAGTCTCAGACATCTTCAAACTAGGCTCACAAGCACAAGCACTGCTTTTCCGCGGTATGTGTGGTTCTTCTCGTGCTCATTTTGCTTATACTCTTGTCCAGTCCAGATCGCTTCATTCCTCATCTTCGCCACCCTTTGGCCTCGAGCATTTTCCAAGATAAAATGGAGGCCTGTAGTTCATCAACATCCAAGGCGTGGAGTGACCACAACGCAACTTGTGATGAGATGAGTTGGTGACCTGGTATACGTTTTTTGTGTTATGCCATCTGCTCTTTGGAAACTTTTGAGAAAGCTTGCTCTGAGCTGATTGAGTTTGAGCTTGGTCAAGGCTCTCACAGGTTTATTGGATGTCTGGTGCAACCCTGGAGTTTTGTTTGCGGGTGAGTAAGCTTTCACGGTTTCAGAGCAATATATTATATTATTGCCAAGAGAAGGCATCAAAACTTGGAGCTCCAGAGTCTCACGCCCCGAGGATTTGAAAGGATCCAAACCTATGGACCTCCAGCTTGGACAACCAAGTGAAGAATAGATTCCCGGGACCATGGTGCCGGGATCAAATCAAACTCGAGCTCAGACAAGCCATCTTCCAGAACAATATCTTAAACGGATGTTGCTGGTTCTTGTTGCAGCATACTTATACTTTGTTTCTCAAAAATAGCTTCTGCATCAGCTGCTTGCTCAGATTGAGATGCAGAGTCCATCCAACCCGTTTTGTTTGCCATGGCCTCGCCAGAGCATGGACAAAGTGAGAGTTTCATTCCATCGAGAAGAGAATGGTTTCTTTCTTGAGCTTGACTGCAGCAGATTTTTCTAGACATGCAAAACAACAGAAATCTTATAAAACCCACCTTGCATATGTCTCATGAATAAGTTCGGACTTTTCAGGAGTATCGGTGGGCCTCAAGCTCTTCTTTGTTTATAAATTGTTTATAAATGTAAATGCTCTTGTGCAGGAAGCTTATGAATACTTCTTATGAAAAGCACCTCAACTCTTGTATCCATTTTCGTGGCTCGATTTTGGTAGCATCTGTAACGTTATGCGGCTGTAGAGTGGCTGTTGCCTGATGCATTCTTGAAACACTTTGCTCTCTTTAACAGAAGAAACAGTCTGTTGTAACACACAAAGTTTAGACATTTTTCACCCCAAAAGGAAAGAAATATACCTTGAGGTATAGCCTGAAGCCGTGTCCCACAACTTGACGCCCAAGGAAGTTAATCACCCATGTCGGAACAAGGTCGAGCTTAAGGTCCAGGTGTATTACTGCTCTGTAAAAGTAGTAGTGACTATCTTAAGAAGAAAACAAAAAAAAAAAAAAAACTAATAGCGTACCTTATGTAGCATTTCTCGTCGCTAATCTTCTGGAGGATGAATCCACCGTTGGCTTCCATGCGAATGACGCCCTCTTTTGGAGGAGGCAAATGAGAAGCATTAAAACCATGGATGGTCTCCTTGACGATAGTCTCTGCTTCCTGGGGGACCTGGCAAATCACCACCATTGGAGTGAATAAAATAACAAAAGAGGCACAGTGATTGATAGCTTAACTGTTCGCAAGCAGCCAACCACGGCATCCAATTCAGGTAGCTGCAGTTCGAAAGACGTGACCAGCATTTCTCTTGTCGCAAACGGCCATGTTGCATCAGTGATATCCACTGTAGTCTAGTCCCGAGTACGTTGTGAGAGCCTTGATCGAGCA